TAGCTTAATCTTAGTATATTCTAAGGTTTCCTATCATCTGTCTTACTGAAACCACCCCGCCAAAAATTTTCGTTCTTATCTTCTATCACCTCTTCCAATCCCTTAAATCTAGTCGATGCCACGAAGGAGATACATGCCCAAGTCTATCTGGAAAGAGATACAGTAAGAACTACGCCGTTTTCACCGGATGCTTGCGGAGATGAATGTTGGAACCCAGGGGAGGTTATTATCTATCTTGATTTGGAGAGTCTGAGGGGAGAAATGGTCGATAATCCCTTCCATAATGAAGACTTTAGTGATGATGAAGACAAACTTTGACACTTTGGAATTCAGTATGTAAGGGCCGAGAGAGGAGGCTTTACATGGAGGACACCGAGATTTTGGCATCAAAGTGGATCTATCAGAGTTCGATAAAGGTATGAATTTAGACAACTTTGTCGAATGATTACTGACAATTGAGAGGATTTTTGAGTATAAAGAGGTGCCAAAAGACAAGAGGGTGAAGCCTGCTGCCTTTAAATTGTGGAAGAACACTTCCTTTTGGTGGAAAAACTAACAGAGGCAGGGAGAGAGGGTTGTGATAATATTACTAGATGGGAAAAGTGGAGGAGAAAGATTTAGAGAAAATACCCACATTCTCATTACCGTTATGATATGTTTCTTAGACTCCACTACCTACAACAGAGAGACCTATCAGCGAAGGAGTTCACAACGCAGTTTAACCGATTGCGGATGAAGCCCGAGTTGGTTGAGCCAGCTGAACATTTCATAGCTCGATATCTGGGAGGCCTGAAGCCCGATATCAACAACATTGTGTAGCTGCAGCCTTATTGGTCACTAGGAGATGTCCAGACCTTAACCCTAAAGGTGGAGAGATTACAAAAACAAAGCAGACAACCACCTCAAGTTAGACAGTCACCCGCAGTTGGAGACACCAATCTCAGGTAGTTGAAAAAACTAGCTTGGATAAGTACGTAGCCACCCCGAGTGAGAAGAAACCTGATTAGAATAACACCTATTATAACCCCGCCCAAAAATGTTTTAGATGTCATGGATTTGACACATGGTCTCCAGCTGCCTGACGAGTCAAGTTGTGTCTTTTACCGACCAGGCGGGGTGGTGGAAGGAGACAACTGAAGAACAGAGCGGGCTACATCATCTTCCATCGGATGAGGGCAAGATCCTCGTGGTTTGACAGGTTCTATAGACTGATGATATAAGGGATCTATGGTGGCTTCTCCACAACATATTCTAAACCCATTACACTGTGAACGGAAAGATATTCAATCTCATCATCGATTGATGGAGTAGCAAGAATGTGTTGTCTACGCAGATGGTGGAAAAATTTGGTCTCATGATAACATGTTTGAAGAAGGAGAATAGGGTCAACATTGATCGGAGGTGCCTAGTAGAATTTTCAATTAGTAGCCAGTTGCAGGATCATGTGTAGTGTGACGTGGTGCCCATGGATGCTTGCCACATTTTTTTGGGGAGACCGTAGAAATTTCACCGTAAAACTCTGCATGATAGATTCAAAAACACATATTTCTTCACCAAGGAGGGGAAGCTCATCATCCTTCTTCTTTATGCGGAGGCTGAGGTCACGGGTGTCCTTGCCAACAATGTAGCATCAGTGGGATCGGTTTTGGTTGTGACAGAGGATGATAGGACCGAGACACCAATTTTGACATGGGTTAGTCTCGGCATATAGCATTTTAGGACATCACGATCAATATCTTACTGCCTTAGTCACCACCATTTGAGGAGGTTTGGGTTCCCCTCAGTTTAGATCAGGTTGAGCCGACCTTGGATTATGTTGGGAGGATTTGACAGTATATGCAGGACACGTTAGCCCAACTCAGCTCAATAGTGAACCCCCATAAGGGTGGATTGATATGGATGTATGCTCGCAGGTGGAGAAAACTCCAGTGTTTTTGGAAACGGTGCAGTTGACAGTGGGATCCAGGAGCTACCAGGACCGCAATTGACAATACTTCAGCCCTGGGAAGTTCCGACAACTCCTTCACCATCACGTGGGTTTCGTCGAATGAGATCAAAACTCTCATAATCTCAGAAGGCTGACGTGAGGGTCAGGGGTTGACACGGCCGACCGGTTCAACTAGATGGATAAGGGCCGACCGACCCTTAGTTTGGGTTAGGTTGTCCACCCAAGGGGAGGGGCCACCCCCTTCTTAGTTATTTACTATTATAAATATATCATTTGCTTAGTTTATGGTTAGTTCCTTTTAACATTTCTGTTTGGACAGCCGCCAACGTCCTATTTTTCCTTTCTAGGGTTGTATCCGACGGCGAGAAGGTACTTAAACTATAACTCGTCTCAAAGTGGCTTGTATTTTCCCCTTTTCTACTTGTTGTTGTTGCTCCTGCACCCCTTCTCCCTGCTTTTAGCTATTCTTCTTCTCCTGTGACCAGCTGTCCTTCCCCCTTGCCATCTGCCAACTATAGCCCCGCTCCTTCCATTATGCCGCAACCTGCTATCATCCAGCTACCTTCTCCCTACTGTCCTCCAAACTGCTCTCCCACCTGACTACTTGGCCACCGCCAGTCCCTCTACCTTTCTGCAGCCCAGCCGCCCCTCTTCGCACACAGCTATCCAATTGCACCTTCCCTCCTTCCTCTCCCGCAGTAATTCCCCGCCAGCTCTCATTGTCCCTGCCGCAACCAAACCGTCATCCCTCATTCCTCCTTGCTACTACCTAGCAGCCAACCTTCCTCCCTCACCTGATTCAACCCTTCTAACCGCAGCACTACCATCCCGATCTATACCGTAGTTTTGTGTCGAGTCATTGTTTTCCTGTTTTCAAGTCTCTTGTTTGTAACCCCTCTTAATTTTAGCAGTAAAAGTATTATTCCGTTGTGGATTTTGGGTTAACTCCGGTATCAGTAAGGTTACCAGATGCTGACATAAGAGCCTCTAGTTTCCAAGAAAAAAATGAAACTGGTTTTAATTTCTGAATGTAGACCTGATCTAATGAAAGAGTTACCTCCTCAGTGGTAATGGGTTAGATTTAATCGTTTAAATGTGTTTCTTGTGCCTAATAATTATATTTCATTTGATTTAGATGAGTTGTAGAACATTTAAAGAAACTGTGCTAAAAAAATTTTGCAGGGTGAATAGTTGTGTTAGGTTTTCAAATTTAATCCTTCTCCAGTTAATTTACATCTCTTTTAACTGGGATGTAATGTTGAATTCAACTAAACTTTGGTCATAGAAGGCCTAGAAAAATCAATAATAATATTATTCACTTTTAAAGCATTGTCAAATATAAATTAAGGAATTATAAAGTGAATTGGTTGAAAAAATGTAAAGTAGAGGAAATATAATCCAAATTACTGTGATAAATGAGTCTTTGAAAGAGTCAAATGAGAAGATCATCTTAGCATACGCATCGAGAAACCATTGATGTAGGTCCATCACGAGAGAAGTCTAGTGTAGTATGCTTTTGAGTAGTCTAATAATTACACGACACTAGTCAATGGACCTAACAGAATGATCACCAGCCAAACATAAATTTATTGATAATCTGTAGGTTGGGTGGCCTAATGAGCATTTACTAATATTAGAAAAATAGAGAGACGTAGCATGCTCTGAGATCACTTCAGTGAAGCTGAGGGCAACTTTGCCCTAAAATACGTGTATGAATGTTTATTAGAGGCTAGTATGGGAGCTTGATTAAAAGATAAAGTAAAATGGTCGTTGGATGGGGAGGAATGAGAGGAATGAAATTTTGAATCGTTCATCCCACCAATAATATTTGCAATGGAACAAGGAGGGTAGGTAGCTAGAGGTGCAATTTCAAAAGGAGAGGAAGCGATTTAAAAGGGGCTTAATTTGTAACTCTAGGAGCACTCAAGGTTGGAGAAAGAGATGGGATCTGTTGGAAAACTGATGGCAAAGTATCCATATAAAAAATTGAACTAATATTAGTGACACCATCCAGAATCATAGTGAATGAGCATAACATTAGACGTGCGAAGAGCATGCATCTACGAAAGAAGAGAAAACAACAAAAGAATGCAACACGATGGCTGCCCTATGTGCAAGAGGGACAGAGAGTGAAAGCCATACCTGAATGCAACTGCATGAGTGGGACACTGACACATTGTGGCATTGGCACTAGAGAGCGGGCAAGTGCGCATTGCATGCTGTCGGAGCCACACATTAGATCAATGCCAAGATGGTGTGAGCTTGTGCACTTATGCGAGCAAGTGCAACCAAGTGTAGGGCCACAATCATGATGAACAAGTGTGAGCTTAGAGTGCAATTTTTGGCAACAGATTGAGCACAAGTCTCACAGCAATTTGTTACGATGCTTGGCAGAAATTAGGGGCTAATAAAAGACAAAATTTCTCTTAGGCTATGCACCGGCCAACACAAATTTAGACATTTATGTAACTTCTCTGGCCATTTAGGCTATTGTTAATAAGAATCATGGCTTCCTTTTACGTATATAATGCATTATTCCTTTCATTTATCCAAAAATTAATCTTTTATAGGTTTTTATTACTAAAAATTGAAAGCATAATCATTAAGCCGTCACTTAACATATTTTGCTCTACAGCCTTTACGTTCACTGTATTAGTCTATTTATTTATTTTTGGTACGTTTTCCTACGTTTATTATCTTATATTCTTCTGACACCTTTGAAAATCTCCCATTTCATTTAAAGCTTTTTGCATGCATGCAATAATGTTCTTTCTTATGATTGCATCTCTAACCCATTTGATGTAGCAAATTAAATGCTAACTCTTGGCATAAGTTTAAAGAAAATAATGGAGTTGTAAAATCATTATAATTCGTATCATTTTCCTATCGCAATTTACAATTTTTTTTGGGCATTTCATTTTCTTGTGCTCAAGTTGTCACACAACTACATGTGATGATCTTGGCATTGAAATTATTGTTTGCTTTGCACGAGCTCCTTGATCTCAGTAAAATTGAATCATAATTTGCTGCATGTATTGTTTATTTGGGTTAGGCGGAGTCTAATGCAGAAATTCAACATCTGAGGAGTCTACATAGAAACTCAGGGCAGATAATTCAGCTGCTGAGTGCCCGCTTTAATGCTATAGAATCAAAGATAGGCACTTCCATGCTACTTGATAATCATGTAGACAAAGTTGTTGACCAACATTTGGCTTCAGAAAATTTAATTTACCTTATTGGAGGTTATAATGGTTCTGCATGGCTATCGGCCTTAGATTCCTTCTCTCCATCACTAGACATTGTTACGCCCTTGAAGCCAATGAGCTGCATTCGTTCTTATGCTTCTGTAGTTGCACTAAATGGATTCATATATGCTTTGGGTGGTGGAGATGGAACTTACTGGTATGATTCAGGTACCTATTGTTCATATAATAATTTTGGGCCATTTACATACATACTACTCAATTCCTATGTATTTACATATCTTACACCTTAAATTTACATTTTACATTTATGCCACTCAAATCTTTAATATCACGTAAAGAATACCACCATTTTAACTTCTAAAAAGTGAAATATACCTTCTCATGCATAGGTAAGGTGGCATGTATATAAAAATTGAAGTTTCGATGTTAGATATATAAATATAGGAATTGAGTGGTATTGTTTGTAAATATTCAAATAACTTTATTCCCACTAGTGGTTAGATTGCAATATTCATACTTTGGTGTGTTTCCTTTTGCTATACAGTTGAGTGTTATGACCGAAGACATAATGAATGGATCTCATGCCCTGCGATGATCAATGAGAAAGGAAGTTTAGCAGGTGCAACTTCGAATGGAAAGATTTATGCTATTGGTGGAGGTGATGGAGTTAGGAGTTTTTCTGATGTTGAGATGTTCGACCCTGCTTTGGGACGTTGGATATCTTGGCAATCAATGCTTCATAAGGTATTATTGAATATTTTATCGTCTATTCCAATATGTGTTTCCGACTTCATGTTAATTTTAATGTCCAACCATAAACGAGAATAAAATCTACACCAGGGTGGTCATCTTTTTATTTTTCTCAAATTCTTTATTATTATTATTATTATTTTGTGAGTAAATGGAAAGACAGTAGTTATTCATGTCAAATAAATGCATGAAAATTACCTTAAATAACTAGATAGAAGAATTGCACTCTAGAATGGAAATAGAAAATGATTTTATGCAATGAGCTAGATGTATTTTTTTTCAGAAAAATTCATTAGTTTCTTGTTGCATTTATTTGTTCGATAGTCTATAGGGAAATTTACATACCTAGCAGACAATTCTTTATGTATTTATATATCTCACGCCAAAACTTTCATAGTTACATACATAGCATTTTTGTGTTTTAAACCGATGCATGAGAAGGTATATTGCAATTTTAAAAAGTGATAATAGTATTATCTTTGATGTAATATTAAATATTTGAATGCTATATTTTAGGTGTAAGATATGTAAATACATAAAAAATACGTGATATGTATGTAAATCCCCCTAGTTTATAATGACCCTTAAGCTGGAATGAATTGTAATACCTGCTGAGTTCTTGGTTGTTTTCTAAGCTTATTGCCTTGGACTTTTGTTTGGAAGAGAATAAAACTGTGCCTGCCTTATTTGGATTCAGGTTCACTTAATATAACAATTGATGACCAATTTATGATGAAATTTGAATTTGTGAAGGGAACCTACGTTCTGCTGGTGGTTTGAACAGATCCAATCTACCAGTTGTATAAGATTTGTACCTGCCCTTTTCTATCATTTATTATTGGTATTACTTGATTTGAAGCTAATTCATGTTCATTGCTTTTTTTTTTTTACTCTGATTGAAGAACTCTGATTGAAGAAGGGGCTTAGGGCTTAGAGTCTCATTGCATATCTTTTATTTATTAAGCTTCTTTTTATGTCTAATTCTCGCGTCATAGTTCATACCGTCCATGCTAGGACCACCAAGGTGCCGAAATATACTTGTACTTGATTTGCTGAAAAGTTTTTCGTAGTTCAATCAGAGATGTTACTACTTCATATACCAGACCCTCGAAATTTCATATATTGAAGATAGGCAATTACTATTGTGAATTTACTCCATTGTTCTTGAATGAAGAGGTACTTTAAATTGAATTTTGTGCATGGTCATGACACAATTATAGATTTATTAATCCGTTGAACCAAAATTTTCAAAATCTACATTTCATCGTCTTGGTGATTTTGTAATATACTAATTGGTAGGGGCGTGCATTGTTTAGATTGAAAAAAAAAAATAACTTAACCTAACCTAACCTATCTATTTGGTTTATTTTGTTTAGAGCATTGGTTTGGTAATTGGTTATAAATTTATCTTTTTTTTTTGGCTTATTATTTTTATTTTTTCATCTATAAAATGGATCAAATATTAAATCAATAAAGTTTATGAACTGCTATTAAACTAATTATAAAAAGACCTGTATGAATATTGTTTATTCCACATGTTAAAACTACAAACTTCCATAATTTTTATCCATATTATCTTAAGTTTACCCTTGTACTTATTAAACATCGTGCTTTAATTTTAATTGCTGGTATAATGGATGCATTTTTTATCTTTCTGTCATAGATGCTCAAACATTCAAAATATGTTTTCAATTGTTTATCTTAAATAAATGTTGCCCCAATGACACGTTTCCGCAATCTCTGATTTAGTGTCGTGATTTCTGCTACAGTCTCGCAACCGCTCCTGCGTTTGGACCGGGCACAACAAAGCTTGGGCGGCATGGACCAGCTTTGACCGAGATTTTGAGGGCCGACTGTCCTTCCATATGTGGATTTAGCTCCTGAGAGGGGGCCCACTCCTATTTATACTAGGCTTATATATTTGCTTTTTTATATTTTATGTTTTTAGTTTTTTATAGTGTTTTCGGTCAGGACAACCACTAGCATCCCCTATTTTTCCTTCTAGGGTTGTATCCAAGGGTGAGTGGTACTCTAGTTGTATCTCGTTCTGAGATAGTAATTGTCTTTCAAGGGTCGAGTGGTGCTCCGATTGTATCTCTTTCCCGAAATGATATTTATCCTTCCCTATCTCCTCCATATCCCTCCCACTTCGCTACCACGCATTCCTTCTCGTTGCAGCCGCCCCGACAAAACCTCAAATCACTTCTTTTTAAGCAAGTAAAACTTAAATTATCCATAAATTTTCATGATGCTTAAATCTGTTTCAACAAGATAAAATATGGATATAATATGACCAGGGTTTGATATAACTCAAGTAAACTTCTCCCATCAATTGAAACAGGGCAACATCACACTTGGAGCAATGTAACATAATAATAACACGACTCATTCTTTGCTAATGATATACACTAGAATGACACTCATATAACATGCGATAAAACATGAAACACATCAATCCCTGGTAGCATCAACATTAGTAGTAGGTTTTTCGGGCTCTCTATTAGTAAGAGAATAACTCGAGGTCGAACCTTCTGTCCTGATTGAACTTGAGTAGGAGCTGAAACTGTTGATTCTATCATTCTCTGCCTACATGCAGTCTTCTGTAAAGGAACTCCAATTGATTTCTGTTCTTTTGATGTTTTTCGGTCAAACGAAGGGCAATATCTAATTATGTGACCCGTTGGCGACACTAGTAGCATGTATGAAACCACATCAAGCATTCATCTTTATGTTACTTTCCATATTTGACACAAGTGACTAGAGTACTACTAGAACTGCCTCCACTGAATCTATCAGAGTTGAATTTGAGCTTCTTCACATTAAATCCTTCTGATCGCTCTACATGCTCTCTTTTATCAGCACTCTTCCTCTTATTTGTCTCATTACGCTTCCGAATAAGCTGAAAATTTATCTCTACTCGTCTAGCCCGCTCCACTAATACTGAGTAGCCCCGAAGGCACCAACGGTTGCCTGATCAATCATTTAATCCCGAAAGGAATCTGTAGCACTTCTCTGCTACAATAATTATTAGTTGTGGGGCATATCTTGAAAGTGCAGTGAACTCTGCTTCTTATTGCATGACACTCTTTGCTCTTTGCAAAACTTGATGAACTTGTCTTGCATCTGTTTTCAAGCGATAAGATTACAAACCACTCCCTAAAACGCTCTACGAACTCCTCCCAACTGATCATCATGTTGGGTATGTCCCATAGCCTGTCTTGACGCTGCCCACACCACTACCTTTTGGCTCTCCATCCAACATACTTGTAGTTAAAGGTGCTCTTCTTTCGTCAGAGCACGTCATGCTATCTATTATCATCTTTATTCTCATTAGTCAGCTCTAAGCTTCAATCGGATCTCCAGTTCTCTTAAATAAAGGTTGATGCAGATCTTGAAATAATTTCAAATACTTATCCACAATAATAATATCACTTCTAATATGTTGCGACCTAAGCTCCTGAATCAGTTGAGTCATGACCACCATCATCTGAGTTAGAAAAGTCGCATTAACATGAACAGCACGCAATACTTTTGTATTTTCTAACTAACTTTTCCCTCTTCAATAGTCTCAGATGCATCTATTTGCTTGAATTGAAATAATTATTTAATTAGTCTTAACTAAATTCAATTAATTTAATTTAATTTAATGTAATTATCCTATTGGTTCTATCATGTCAAAAACCTCAGTGGTATATATGTAAATATTCAATTTTCGGTGTTAAATATGTAAATATATAAGAATTGTGTTGTATTCATGTAAATACCCATATTATCAATTCAAAGCTAAATCGCCCCTTTTGTTGCTTTTCCAGCGCTTCGCTCCTACCGCAGCTGAACTAAATGGCGTGTTATATGCTGTTGGCGGATATGACGGACAAAGTTACTTGAAGTAAAGTGTTTTCTTTTTTCTTTTTTTGCTTACTTCCTGTTAATCTCTTTCATGTTAAAAGTACTGTTTAATCTGTTTTGAAATTTATCTGCACATGCATTAACATTAGAATGTTCGTCTAATAACAAGCTGATCGATCTTAGTATGAAAAGTAAAATACTCACGCAAACAGCACCCGATTACAAATATAGGTTTATCGTACCATGTTAAGTGTAAATATCAAAGTTTGGGTGTTAGATATGTAAATACATAATAATTGTGTGGTATGTATGTAAATTTCTTAAAAAAAAAACATCAAGAGCAGTAATCTTCCCTATATGCTGCATTAAAGAGATGTTGAGCCATTGTTTGCCATCCTTTCCTCAGGTCAGCTGAAAGAATTGATCCACGGGAGGTCTCATGTACACCAATACCAAACATGATTACCAGAAGGGGATGTCACTCAATGGCAGTTCTAAACGAGAAACTGTGAGTTATATAACTGCCTAGTGTTTCAGAAACTTACTAAGAAAACTTTACATTTTTCATCTCATAAATTTGGTATTCCAAGTTCTAACCCTCAATTCTTTTTATCAGGTTTGTCATGGGTGGCTATGATGGCGAAAATATAGTATCTACTGTCGAAATGTATGACCCCCGCGCAAATGCTTGGATGGTTGGTGAACCAATGAAGTTTGCGAGAGGATACAGTGCTACCGCGCTTCTCGGCGATTCTCTATTCATCATTGGTGGAATTGCAAACAGCGACAACATGATAGAAACGGTATGTCGTCTCTCGTTCTAATTAAATGATAGGTGATGTTTAATATTCTTTCATCTAAAAATACTTTTTTTTTTCATCATTATGTTTGGTGGTTTGCACCAGATGGAATGTTATAGAGATGGGTTTGGTTGGACCAACACCTGTCTTAAGGCTGTCGGAAAGAGGTGCTTCTTCTCGGCGATGTCTTGCGAGCTTGTTTAGGTCAATGATTAGCTTGTTTGACCTAAATAATGCTAAATTCAGTTTTGGGAGTCCTGCTTTTGAATAAAATTTGAAGGTAAAGTGTTATTTTTTGGGTGAGATGGGTGGACCTTTTATTTTGCGAGCTTTAGAATGCTTTTGAACTTCTGGTGGCTCATTTTACTTAGCTTGTAATGATAGGGATAGTTGATTACTGAAATATGATTCAAGTGGCCAATATTGATTCAAAATCTATTTAATATCGCAATATAGAGGGTATGTTTTTTCATATTCAAAATGCATATACATGTAATCAATATAATTCTTAATATTCATATTCTTCGTATCATCCAATATATATATATA